TTTCTTTCATTTAGGTCCACAAGATGCGCCTACCTTCTTGCAATTTAGTCCCTAAAATTTCAGAAGATGTTCATTTAAACCCAAAACTCCTATTCTTATGCAATCACGTCCTTTTCTCTTTTAGACAATTTTTTGGTGCTAATAGCCAATCTGTCAATGAGCACGACCAATTCTTGCTCTTTGCTTTCAACCATTCCCATGATCTGATTTGGATGCAATCAAACACCCTTTGAGCATCTGGTTCCTTCCCTTTGAATACACAACTATTTCTAGTTAACTATAAAGACCAAATATATGCAAACCAAATAGTCTCCCATCCTTTTAAAACTTTCCTGACTTCAATTAGTCCGAAATGTTGAGAGAAAGCTTCCCAGCAAGTTCCTGGTCTAACTGATTGCATTCCCCACCACTTCAAGCACATGCCCCATAGGGAATATGCAACTCGACAATGTAAGAACAAGTGGCTGGAGGTCTCAACTTCCTCTTTACATAGGGAGCATGTAGTCATGTTGTAGCTATTCAGGACCCCCCTCTTAAACAGCTCAAATTTAGTTGGTAATTTATTTTGGATTAACTGCCATAGTCATGTCTATTTAAACCTGAACTTCCTCTAAAGTGATGAACCTAGTCTGAGATTATTTTAACAAAAAAAGAGCAGAAAACCACAGGTATATATAGGATCATTAGAGGATATACTCACCAGCAGAAAGAACGAAGAAGAAGAAAAATGCTAGCAATAAGAGGAAGAGAGAATTAATTATATAATTCTTTAGGAAAGTTGTAATATATAGAGTTGTAATATATAGAGACCAATACACTACTATTCTGTATCCTTTGTTTCAATCGCCCGCAAAGAAAGGCATATAAGCATATATTTTTTTCTAATCATCCAAGAAAAGAAGATTTTTATTAAGAAACAAGCATACCCGCACAAGTATTATAATACAAGCAATTTGGGAATGATCAGGAAACAAACCCCAAGTAATATTTACAATCTGCCCTCCCAATTCAGGTTTATCTATATATATGTGTTAGTATATATTAATTTCGACTTTTAAGAAAAATTAGAGTTATAATCTATATTTGAAAATTGAAATTTTAATTTTAAATTCAAAATTTCACCCTATTAAATGTTGATATATAGATTTAGAAATTGATTATATATTCTAATATAATCAGTTTTCAAATTTTAATATCAATATATAATAAGATGAATTTTTAAATTTTAAATTGAATTTTAATTAAATAAAATAATATAATTTAAAGTTGAGATTTTAATTCATTTTGTAAGTAGGGACTGATTTGCACTTTTCCTATATGTAAATGCATATCAATCCTAATTCCAAAAAATTTAGAGTTCCAACCTTAAATTATATAATTTTATTTAATTAAAGAAATCCACCTTATTAAATGTTAAAATCTAAATTTGGAAACTAATTATATTAGAATATATAATCGATTTCTAAGTTTAAATATCAATATTTAATAGCTTAAATTTCTAAATTTTAATTGAATTAGGATTTTAATTTTTAAATGTATGTTGAAACTCTAATTTTTTTAAGAGTTGGAACTAATACGCATTAATCTCCTATATATATATATGCAAGAAAATTTACTTGCAATTCACACTATTCTGAATTGTAAACTGTTGATCTTTAGATGAGAAACAAGCCACTTGATAGCCCACCCCCCATCTAGGGGTCCTTGTTTTACAACACAAAATCCAAATGGTAAAACAACATACTCATATATATATATATATGAGAAAAATATATATTAATCCTGACTTAAAAAAAATTAAAGTTTCAACCTTAAATATCATTGTTTCATTTAATTAAAATCCAATTTAAAATTCAAAAACCCACTTTATTAAATATTGATACTTGTCTTTGAAAACTAATTATATGTTTTAATATAATCAATTTTCAAATACAGGTGTCAAATTTAATAAGGTGGATTTTTAAACTTTAAATTAAATTTTAATTAAATTAAACAATATCATTTAAATTTGAGACTTTAATTTTTTTAGAATCAAAATTGATGTGTACTATCATATATATAGAGAGAGAAAGGAAATAATACTTATTTGCCTTTTCTCTTAAAAAGAGGAAAATGACTCTAGCTACGTGATTTCAACAAACTTTGATTGGAAAAGACTAAAATACTCTATTTTGAAGTATGAATTATATTGTTTTTTTTTCTCTCTTATGGTGCTTTATTGAAATGATATAGTTTTAGATTAATTTTCTTCCTAATTTTTAAGAGATAAGGTAGATAAACACTAATCGCACACACGTGTATATATATATACATATATACATACATATACTTATGTGTGTGTTACATGCCATTGAAGCTTTGTACCAAGGCTAGAGAAAGTGGAAGTGTAAAGGGCAGGAGAAGATTATTAAGTGCAATGTGAGTCACATAAAAGGCTGAGTCATATCCTTATTGTGGGTGTTACATGCATGCCGTTGATGCTTTGTCCCAAGGATGGATAAAGTGGAAGTGTAAAGAGCAGGAGAAGATTGTGAGTACCATTTTAGGTTACACCGTATGTAAACTGGCTTTGTTCCATGAGTGTCACTGGGGCCAAGAACACAACTGCAGCTTTTATAAGAACAAGCAATGGATTTTGTGCAAATAGATGCTACATCATCCGATTCCTTTCATGTGCCAAGTAGATATATATTGTTTCTTCATGTTTGTTTAGGGAATAAGACTAAAAACCCAACTGCTCTCCCATATAGTTCAAGCTATGCTCTTGCCATATAAGTTACATATTTTAATGATTGAATCATTGAGTGTTGTAAAGTGTATTAAACCGAAAAATATTCTAATCATTTTCTTAAAAAATTATGTCATAAAGAAAAATTAATGAGAAGTAGAATAATGATATAAGAGTAAAATAAGTACTAATAGAATGATACTAAAAAGTTGTGTTTTTTATAATTTGACTTAGATGTCTGATATAAATAAAGGGAGAGGGAGAAAAAGGGAGAAAGAGAGTTTAAATAAAAAGTTATATTATGATTGATAAAGATGTAATAAGTGACTAAAGAAAAAGGATATAGTAGGAGCCACTACAAGAATACACAGAATTACCGATGAAATACCATGTCGGAAATCAGGAGGGATCTTGTCGGTAAATAAACTTTCCAACTTATACTTTGTCGGTAATATACTTGTCGGTAATATACTTGTCGGTGTTTGCTTCCTCGGTAATTACTTCACCGATGTGAGATGGAGTTATGTTGGTAATTTGGTCCAAATTACCGACAAAACATATGTCTCAAATTAACTATCGGAACTTTTTACGTAAGTCATGGTGTCAGTTACCGACGAGCTTCACGTCTCTAGCTGTAGACCTCATTTATGGCGTCCCTATGTTACCTTGTTTATTGCATCCTCGTTTATTGCATCTGGTCAACTCATGTTAGTAAGTTACCGACAAAGAATTAATCGGAAAGTTGATTTAGAAATTTGAAAAAGAATTGCCGATTTACAAGAATGAATTGGTTATATATGATTTACCGACAAAGTTCCAATCAGCAATTACCAAGAAGAAAAAAAAATTAGCATTTTACCGACAAAGCTCCAATCGGTAATGTGGTTTAGGAATTGAAAAAAAAGAAATTTACACCATTCCCCTTTCTGCAACCGGGAAAGAAATAAATTAGTATATAATTTAGTTAAAACCAAAAAACTGTTAATATGAAATAATAGTATTACCAGCCATCCAACACATAAGCAATAAAATATATATACACATTCAATAATGAATGTCCTCCAAACCAAAAAGATTATGGGATGATCACTCTTAATTTAAAATGGTTAATATTAT